ACGGGTGCAGCATATCCAAGGTTGATATGTCTCTTGACATGCATATTATCTTATCAGGCATTTTGTCTTCATACCACTGGTGTATTTTTTGTACACGCTCAGATGATTTAGATGCACTTCACTACACTGGAGTTAAAATATTTTCATTGTAGAGAGTTTGCAGATAATTTGAGCTAAGCAGCCTCAGTAACTTCTCAATAGTTTTGAGACGTCTTCAGTGAGAATCACCAAGCTAGAGCCTTCCCATTTTTAGATCAGGAGTTGAAAGAATTCTCTTTTCACTTCCCTTCCTTGCTACTTGTTTAGCTACATTGATCTTGTGAAATAACGCGCCAAAATGTTATCGAATTGGTCTATAGGACTAGTCTTGAAATAATGCAAAATCTTGTTCATTTCTGTCTTTTGTTGTTGAAAAGCTTCTTTCAGTTTTTCTACTGTATCTTAATTTACATTATCTTCGGACTGGCTTTAATTTTCAGATAATTTAAATTATTTTCTAAAGAACTTTCTGACCTCTCTCCTCTTTCTATTGAGCGTACCCTATTCTTAACAATTTTGATTTTTAACTAGTTTCGCCGAGTAATACAGGACTTTCGTTAACTGTATTAACACTTTCATTGCGTAACCCACCCTTATCACTGTCCAGTTCTGTGAATGTGCCTGGAAGATGAATTCGCTTTGCCTGTACCTTCATGGTCACTAGATACTTTTCTGATTGTCGCAAGTTTGAAAATTTGCAGCCAACAAGGATAACATTCATTTAACCGCGGGGTCACCTTAACATATTTTATTTAACTTGCCTAATATAACTGTATTCACATATCTTAAGTTTTTCGCACATTTTCTCCCATGCGTTTCTAAATTCATAGGAAACCTACACTGAAACTTCAGAACAAATGATTGTAAATGCGAATGTTTAAGCAAAAAAGCTTGTGGGCTACTATACGAAAATGAGATCTAATATATGAAATGTTAATTTTCTTCGTTTTTATGTTATTATATCGCGTACGCCTACTCTAAAAACACTTTCATGGTTGTTAAATAATCTAGAATTGTATTATATTTACAGTGGAATATTGCTAAGATTCGAAGGTTAATGGTCTTTTCTTGATTTGTAGAGAACTAGCTATACTTGACATAATTTGGATACACTCAACAAAATTATAACTTCGGAGAAATTAGCATTGGGCGATTTCTAAAAAAATAGTTCCATTACCGTGTTTATAGCATATGTAAAACATACCAAGAATATTAAAAATAGTAAGTTGAAATTTTCCTGAAAAAATACTAGATTTTGTCTGGAGTGCCCAAATGCGAAACATCGCTGGGTTCCCTTTCATCTCCAGTAAAAACAAATTTGATCGTAAATTCTCGAAATACCTCTTATTATGCATATTGTCTAAATGTAAAGGAAACATCCACATTTAGAGATAGATATCCACACGTTCCCCGAGGGCTGATAGAATGTGAAGGACTGCTCGCGTCGATGGCAGAGCAGCCCCGCGGGGCACGTAGCTCACGCGACCGACAATCGATCAAAACTTCCCCGAAACCTCGTCACCGGACGTTCAATTATTAATATCACTCCTCGTCACTCCCCGGCTGGGGCGGCCCTGGCCATTCCCCCTGCGGCCACTGGCCTCCAGTTTTGGTTGGTTGCTTGTTAGTGATGCCAGGCGCGTCAATTACGGAGGTAATTCGCCCCGTAAGTGTAGTGCATGTTCTTTTCCTTGGGAGTTAGCGGAGATATCCCGCTGGATGGCGAAACCCGGCGCCGACCTACCGTCCCCTTGCGGGGTTCTCCTCAACCAGGTATCTCCCACCAGCGGGGCACCGTCCCAGCCGGGAAGGCTGTAAACTCCCGACCGGTCTCTCGGCATGTGTGCTTGTGCAGTGCATGTTAGTGTGTGTGTGTGTGTGTGTGTGTGTAATGGGAGAGAATAGGACACGAAGAGGAACGAAAGATTGCGCGCGGTCCGTGGCCCGTTTTTTAGGGTACTGCTCCAGCAGTCACCTGGCCAGCAGCTCCCACTCCCGTCGCGTCGTGTTAATCGGAGAATCGGAGACAGCGTCCAGAATTCTTGCCCATAGAGCGGCTGGATTCGACCCGGCTATGTAGCTAGTGTCGAAAATTCTGCCACGGTGGGACTCGAACCTAGGACCTCCCGGTCAGAGGCCCTGCAGTGACCTCGGTTGATGCACTGAGCCACCTCTCCCGGTGTCCAGTTCCGATGGAGGCGCAATTTCGAACCCAACACTCCAGTGAAATATGTCCATCCTCATCCAGAACACCCATTTAGGCGTACTTGAACTACACTCCCACTCGCGTCGGACGACCGGTTGGGAAATTACAGTTTGTCTCGATTGGGACAGTTTTCCCGCTGGCGGAGACCCCTTGAATGGGAAATCTCGCAAGCCAATGTGAGGATCAATGCCGGAGAGGAACCCCGCCACCTCCCGGGGAAATAACGTGTACTACACTCAAGAGACTGATACTAAATATATTACTGATATTGATTAATGGATTAATGTCTCTATTTGATGTGGACAAATTGGAAACTATTATTAAACAGACGCTTTATTCTTATTAAAATTTTCGTTTCGAACCCTTATTCGGGTTCTTCTTCAGGAACATTTGTTCTATAAATGTAAATTTCATAGTTACACTTATACTCTAATTAACAAAAAAAATTAGATTTAGAATAATTTAGTCAAAAACAGTAAAAACTGTATGAGACGTATAGCGGAGATCATCTGCCGCACGGTTTCTTGAGTTTCAGAATCCCTTTCCATCATATAAACTATAAATACTTGTTGGATGAATAAAACTTAAAGATAAATAAATAAAAATGAAGTTAATAAAGCGCAAGATTAGTGGCATTTGAAAAACTAGACTTTTTCGTTCCCGAGTTATAGTAAAATTTATTTGAAATGGTAAACGAACTGCACAACTATTATAAATTAAATTATTATTAAGACAGCTCAACATCAATTCCAGTATTCCATCACCGTCCATAATTATGTAATGGGTGGTGGGTGAGAAATTCACTCAAAAGATTTCCAAGACGTCCACTTCATAAAATGCAGAGTTGACACAACGGATGTCTGTGTGTAAATGTAATTCTTATTACTTTATCTGAGTTACGGTGTTACCAACTTCATAATTCGACTTAGTGAGTTGCTTAACAAGTTAGGTCGTTAACAAATTAGGGCATTACAAATTAGGCCGTAGGTTAACAAAGTAGGTCGAGAAATATTAAGATGGTAACACCGCAACTCATAAAAACGTAATACGAAGTACATTTACACACAGATGTCCATTGTGTCCACCCACCATTAAATTAAGTTGACGTTGTGTAAAGCTGCTGATGAATTTCTCACCCAACATGTCCATTAAATATTTCTCAGCACAGGTGTTGCAACTGATGATAAGCTGTGTTAATAATAATTTCATTTGTAATACGTTTCATAACTTACAGTTTAAGTACGATTTTTTCATTTATAGAAAAAATGTACCTGAAGAGTCTGAACAAGGATTCAAAACGTTATGCAAATTATAAAAAGAACAAAGTATCTGTTTAATGCCATAGTTGCACTCCCAACCGCAATCACTAAATAATCAATCACAATGTTTGAGAACAATGCTGTTATTACCCATTACGCATGGGCTATTGTAGGATAATGCTATGTTGTTACGTAAATTGAACGTTTGGTTTACGTTAATTACTTATAGTTTTTGTGATAATATACAATTTATAGAAAAACAAAATAAACTGACAAATACTGCACAGTAATATCACTACTAAAAATTATATACAAGTATTATCAAATCAATGAAAACATAGCAAAAAACCATGCAGTGAAACTGGAGGTTTTTTTAACATTCAATTCCCAAATGAATTTAGAAATCTCTGTTTGATGTTCTCTTACTCATGTTGGCAGACTCAGGCCATGTGAGTGTCCCATTTAACCTCCATCACTTTCATCTCCTGTTAGATTGATTGTTAATTATCCCGAGCACCAACTACTGAGGTCATTAGTCCCTCAATTGTAATGCATGGTTCTGCTCGGGAGGTGACGGCACGGCGAGATCCGGCGCCGAACTATCGTCGGGTAGCGAGATTTTCCTCAACCAGGTATCTCCCACCAGTGGACACGCTCTAAGGTTCCAACCGGTCTTCCGGCATGTCAGCTGCTCTCATTCGTGTGAGGCAAGGGCGGTGCGTTTACTCATCTCACCCACCGAGCAACAAGTCCGCTCCTCGAGACCGTTGCATAGGCCTATGTACCTTGTATTGATTATAATTAATTTCCTATTGGACCATCTTGACATTTTTATATGCCTGGGAGTGTGCTTTTAAGTGAGGAATTCGAATACATGCGTATCAGTTACCGTTGTGTTAGAGCTGACATTTTAATCTTCCGGAGATCCTGTCTACAAAAAGCCTTCAGTCGTCTAATCCATAAATCGTTAAACCCCTTTTGAAAAGATGTTTATTATTTAACAAAAATCTACGATGCCATCCCCCCTCGAAAAAAAGATTGGCCGGAACCGTCCCTGATCCGCGTGTTCAAACTCAGGCGAAGCCCTCGATTTTTAGGGCGAAAAATCCTTCGTACGCCTTCCTTCGTACGCCTTCCTTCGGAGGAGAAGTAAAGCGGCTGTCCCATATTAGTAGATTCACTGCATGTAAAAGATCGTCACGCCTAAATGAAGCCTCTGGGCTTCATTTAAATCGCCCAAGAAAGACCTCCTTTCTCCGCCAGTTGTTGAAAAGGAGGGTAGCAAAATTTGCGTGGTCAGAGAGGGCCTCACGGCCTGAGTCTCGCCACGTAAACTGAGGCGCTTCCAAGAGCAGGTGCTGCAACGCGCTGCGCTCGTGTTGCAGCCAACACCGCGCACACGCTGGAGCAGCTGGGCGGCTCCGTGCTTTCGGAGCTGGACGGCAGCCCGCCGCTGTGGGTGACGCGGCGCCGGCGGCCGGGCGCCTCGGAGGAAGTGTACATCAACAACGCGCTCGTGCTGGCGGCGCGCTCCAACTTCGTCACGCAGAACGCGGCCGGCAAGCAGCACGTGCTGCACGTGGTGGACGAGGTGCTCACGCCCGTCACCACCTCGGCCACGGCGCCCGCGCAGCTGCAGCTCTACAACCCCGACGCCTTCCAGTTCCTCAACCAGTCGGAGAACTTCGACATCGGCAAGCATCGCGTGCGGTGAGTCATTGCACTCATTTCCGATCGTAGCGGTAAACGTCATATAAGGCGACGTAGCGTTAAGTGTTATATAAGACAACGTAGCGGTAAACTTGATATAAGACTACACGGGTACACAACCTCTACAGCCAGACGCCTTCCAGTTCCACTATCAGTCGGAAAATATAGACATCGGCAAATATCGTGTGCATTGGTCATTGCAGAGCATTCAGGTCGTAGCGTTAAACGTCGAGGCAACGTAGCGTTAAACATTGTATTAGACAACACGGGTACACGACCTCTACAGCCAGACGTCTTCCAGTTTCACTACCAGTCGGAGAACATAGACATCGGCAAACATCGTGTGCATTGGTCATTGCATTCAGGTCGTAGCGTTAAACGTTATGAGGCAACGTAGCGTTAAACATTGTATTAGACAACACAGGTACACGGCCTCTACAGCCCAGACGCCTTCCAGCTCTTCAACCAAAAGGAGAACTTCGACATCGACAAACATCGTGTGGGGGCGAGTCATTGTACTGAATCCAGATAGTAGCGTTAAACGTTATATAAGACAACGGAGCGTTAAAAGTTTTACAAGACACCATGGGTACATAACCTCTACATTACAGTTCCACAACTTGTCGGAGAACTTGAACATCGGCAAGTATCGCGTGCGGCGAGTCGTTACAATGAATTCAGACCATTAAACGTTATATTAGGCAAAGTAGCGTTAAACGTTATATAAGACAACACGATTAGACAACCCCTACAGTCCCGATGCTTTCGGTCGGTAACTCAACCAGTCGGTAAACTACACATTCAAAAACATTACTGTCAGTGAGTCTTCACAATTCGATGATCGCGTTACTTAATACGCTACGAGGAAATCCAAATACACAATCTCTAGTGCTCGACGCCTTGCATTTCATCATCTCCGATGTTAGCAAACATCACGTACGCTATTACAGTACAGTTCGTTCAGAGCGTAGGTTTGAAACGTGAGGCAACCGGGTTACACAAAATCTCTTGCCCCAATGTCTCCCAATTCATTCCGAAAACGGGGATGTCGACAAAATAGGATACGGTGAGTCTACACTGTTTATTCGTTGCATAAAATAAATTGCACGCAAAGAATAGTATATTATCCAGAGATAATTAACTAGATAATATAAGATAATATTTAATACTAGAAAATTAAGATAATAACACTTATTTCAAAGATGACTCCAATTTTTTCTTCAAGTTTTTTTAATAGAACAAAATACGATTTAAAAATGCCACCGATCCCCTTTTTTATTAAACTATCTGCTTTTCCCAATATCGAGAAAAGGACAAATATTGCGAGGAAGTGAAATGTACTTGTGTAGCACCACTAGTTAAACTTGCAAATGACATCTTGTCATAAATAATTTCTGAAATGCCCGGAAAGAATCGTAATACTTCTTTAACTGATAAATACCCCAGAAACGTAACTAGTGGTACTACAATAGCGCACATTTTCTGGCATTATTTATTAGTTTTGCATTATTCGAAAATTCACATAGTTGAACGAAAATAAATCTTGTGCCTTTTTTTAAAGCGTTCATTGCTCAATTAGTCAAGAAAACCAAAGAAAAATGTTGAGTGTTTTTAAGTTTTTTAACTTGCATTAAAATTGAACAGGTATATCGCGAAAACGAGCTTTTTAATGAAAGATCTTTTTTAAACATTTAATTTTGATTGCAGATTTTATTTAAGAAAACAAATCTTATCATCTGTATTGCACTTTTGCAGTAATTTTTAAATTTTCGAAAATACAGAGAGTTTGCCGAAAATGGTTTTTGAAAATGTGTGTGTTTTCGTGTAATTTTGAGTGAGCTCGTGACAGATGAAACAAAATACTTAAAAGTGTATTTTTCTTTAAGTTTCTCGGTCGAATGAAAGATAGGTGTAGTCGTAGCGTGTGGAGGTTGCGCGATTGTGTTTGACGTGTGCGTGTGTGTGGGCGCAGGTCGTTCCGGCAGCGCGTCTACTTCAACAAGAAGGAGAGCGTGTTCGAGGCGCTGGGCAAGTTCACGTTCTTCGTGCCGGTGGACGAGGGCTTCAAGCCGCCGCCGCGGCCCGAGAAGATCGACCAGAAGGTGATCGACGGGCACGTGGTGCCGGGCCACGTGCTCTTCACGCGGCCCACGCCCGCCGGCCAGGCCTACGACACGCTCGCCTTCGGAGACATGCTGCGCGTGAGCGTGTCCCTCGCCAAGGAGTCCGACGGCAAGAGTGAGCAGCCAGCGCTTCTCTGCACGCGCAGCGCCCAACGAGCCAGGGCCGGATTTAACTAGTGTTGCCCCCC